GTTCTAATGCTGCCCCCACCCTGGTGCAGGCCCTCATCACTTCATCCCTGTACTGTTGCAATGACTACTGGGGGTGGGGGCCTCCCTGCCTTAGGTCTCTCCCCACTCCAGTCCCACTGCCTCCAGTCGAGGCAGTTGAAGGCATCATGGATAGAGCACTGGGCCTAAAATCAAGATATGATTTCAAATCTGGCCTCAGATTCTTACTGTGTGACCCTGGGCAGGTCACTCAACCTCCCTTTGACTCAGTTTCCTCAACTGTAAAATGGGAATAATAATAGCACCTACCTCTCTAGAGAGAATCAAATGACATATTTTTTTAAAGTGGCTGGCACATAGTAGGTGCTATAAAAATGCATATTCTTTCCCTTTTCCTCCTCCACTCAGCTCCCCAAGTATTTTTCCTAAAGTGCAGGTCCAACCATTCTGCCTTCCTTTTCAAGAACCTCCCCTGGCTCCATATGACCTCCTGGGTCAAACAGAAACTCCTCCGTTGGCTTTTAACACTCTTCACAATCTGGCCCCTCACTACCTTTCCACGCCCTCTATACTTTATGATCTTGCCGTTGTTTCCATCTCCCCACTACTCTGGCTGTCCCCCTGCCTGGAATGCCTGAAATACTGTCCCACCACACCTTCACTCCGGGCTTCCCTGTTCAATATTCAGATAAGATTCTACCTTCTACTTATCACCCGCCATTGGTGCCTTCCTTCTGAGATTACCTCCAAGTGACGTCCTCTAGACTGTGAGCGCCTTGAGAGCAATTATCCTTTTGTGTATCTCCAGCACTTAGCATAATGTCTGGCACACAGTAGGCACTTAATAAATGTTGACTAACTGGCTTCATGTAATAAATTTCCCTTGAGCAAGGTCAAGTCAAATAAATACCTCCGTGGTCAGCATTAATTAAAGCCAAAGAAAAGGAAGAATGGTGAGTAAAGTCCTGGGACTGGAGTCAGGAACACCTGGGTTCAAACTCTATGTCTGACCATGGGCAAGACCTTTAACCTTGCTAAGCCTCAGTTTCTTCATCTGGAGAGGGAGAGGGTTGGACTAGACTCTATGATCCTAGGAAAAGCCAACTTTACCAAAAGCCACCCCAAAATCCTCAGCTTTTTTTCACATGATGCTTTAGAAAAGGGGAGGACTGCACCCGTCCAACAGATATCCAGCTGCACCCACCAGCTGACCCAGAGACCTTGGAAACCTTGCACAAAGGACCTCACCTAGACTAATTAGCACTAATGGATTCATCCAGGATAATTGGCATTCCAAAAAAAAAAAAAGAAACAACTGTATCATTCAGGAGCGTGAGCTTGTGCCCAAAGCATTTGCTGGTGCTTCGACAAAGAAAGAGTAGGAACAGGAAATGGTGGCATCAGGTCATCAGCAGTATGTCTGCTGCTACGGTAGCAGGGCTGCACTGAGAGGAACTGCTAGGAAATAGACTAAGGATGGTCATCCATTGATGGACGAAACATCCTGCTATGTTCAAGAATAACAGCAATCATCCTTCCCCAAGATTTTCAAAATTACCTCCAAGGGAAAATATGTTTAATTTCATGTTAGCAGAAAATAAAAATGGGCTCCTAACAGGAAATGCTGCCCAAGAGCAAATACTAGTTCAATGAATAATTCTAATAACAACTGATTCTTAAGAGCATCTTAAGATTTGCAAAATGGTTATGTACATTATCTCACAACAACCTGGTGGCATGTACTACAGGCATTATTATGCCTATTTTTCAAACTAAGGAAATAAGTCTAAGAAGTGAAAGGACTTACCTTTGGTCACTCAGCTAGAAGTCAGGAGAACCTAGGTTTCCTGACTCCAAGCCCTAGACTGTACCTCTCCATTTACCTTTTGCATTCTCCTCAGACCCAGCAATAAAAAAAAATCAAATAAGCTGCTATTTTTTGACCCAAATCAATCTCTTTCTTCCTTCATCCTTCCCCTTCCCTTCTCTCTCACCTTCATCATAGAAGAGTACCATTTCAGGCACACACCATGCTCTTTCTTTCCCCTGAGTGCATACTCTAAGGTTTCATAGGTACTTCCAGGTGAACAGACTATGTCTAATCATTTCTTTTTTCTGTAGCAGCTAAAGAAAAGGGGGAAAGGGGAGAAAAGGGCTATAGTTGCTATAGGTAAATGGGGATAAAGAAATTATATAGTGTGTTGGAAAATGTGCAGCTCAGAGAGTAGAGGCAAAGTTCAGGAAATAGCTGAACGAACTGGCATATGAATATGATTATACATTATTGTGCCAAAGGAAATGAAGACTGAAGAGTCCAGAGAAATTTGGGAAGACTTCTATGAACTGATGCCACATGCAGTAAGAAGAACCAGGACTAATCAATAAACTTCTTTCCAAATTATTTCAGTTTGGAGTTTTGGTCTCTTCTAAGAAGCCAAATACACACCAACTGCAGTGATGCAAAGGGCGGGGAATTGCCAGAATTCAGAACTTTGATCAAGGCAGTGAGGCATCTCTGCTTTGGGCACCTGCAGGTGGTAAGAGGTAGTGAACCTGAGGTGCAGAATCAGACATACATTGTCAGATATGCTCATAAGTGGACTTCCTTTGCTTAACGCTACTTCTTCATTACAAGGAAAGTTTGGGGCAACCATGTGACCATGATCTTTTTTAAAACATCAGTGCCTGGTGCATAATGGGCACTTAATAAATGCTGACTGACTAAAAACCATCCCCAAGATAATTATTTAAAAGGAAAAAATTTTCAGATGCTATTTTGTCTCCTGCCTTCAGATGGTGAAGAGTCAAATATATTCCAGAAGACCAGGGTTCAAATCCTGCCTCCCAAACTGAGGATCTAGGATCATTTAGCTAGAGCTCTAGGGGCCTTAAACATCTTGAAGCCCAACTGCTTTTGTTTTACAGATAAAACTGAGGTCCAGATACTATCTGTGTACCTCACAATACAGATACTAAGTGGCAGGATCAGAATTTGAACTCAGGCCCCGCAACTCCAAATTCAGGGCAGTTTATGATACCCTGTGCTGAAGGAACTGTTTCCTTTTATTTGCCATTTCAACTGTATCTACAATGGTAAAAACAAATAGACAAAATGTGTTAATATCCTACCATGCTGAGGAAAGCCCATTATCTTGATCCCATCCACAAAATGGACTTACAGTCTTGAGCAAGTCAGTCAATACACACACACACATAAACACACACACTCTCTCTCTCTCTCACACACACACACACACACACACACACACACACACACACACACAAAATACATATACATACATTCATGAAAATGAATCTAAAATGACCTCTTCTAGTTTTTCAACAGCCAGGACAGTCCCTGTGGTTCATTGAATAAAGCAATAAATGCATATAAATTCAGGAAGACCTGAATTTTAGCCCCTGGCTAATTGTGCGATGCCAGCAAATCATTTACCTTCTCTCAGCCTCAGTTCCCTCAATCTGTAGAGTGAATAACAATATTCAGAGCACTTACCTCACAGAGTCATTGTGATAAGTGAGATGATGAATGTCAGAGCTCAGCAAAACTTCAAGCACTCTTTGGCACCCACTCAGTGGGTAGAGCGACACACTGGTGTCTGTCCAATTTGGCTTCAGACACTTATTAGCTGTGTGGCCCTGGGCACGTCACTTACCCTTTTTTTCCCTCAGTTTCCCCATCTGTAAAATGGTAGTAATAACAACACCTACCTCACAGGGTTGTGGTGAGGATCAAATGAGGTCATATTTGTAAATGCTTAGCCAAGCTTAAAGCGCTCTATAAATGTGCACTGTGATGTCAGCCATCATTATCAATTTCAACATATTTGTACACAGTATAAAACATACACATACAAATAGAGTGCCATATGTAATCTGCATCCCTTTAGACACACCATGAAAGAACACATTTCTCAAATGATAACATGTGCATTCACTTAAGCCCAGGAGAATTAAACTCACTGAAGGCAGAGGCTGTTTGGGTTTTGTTTTTGTATCCCCAGGACCCAGCACAGGAATTGTCAAAGAGCGGCTGTTTATTGAGACTGGTTGAATTGAATGGAGTTCAATCTCCATTCATTCATTTTTTCAACAAATGTTTTTAAGTGCTTTTACTGTGTTCAGAATAACATGAGAGGTGCTGAGGGAGATACTAACCTCCTAGACACTAAAAGCGCTTAGCGGGGGATAAAACTCCAATGAAGACAGCCGTAATACATTGTATTAAATGAGGAGCGATTTGGAGAGTTGCAAAACCATGCCTGGTGTGAGCTCCAAGGCGGGGAGGTTGGTGTCCGCTTGATGGGATCGCTTACTCTATGACACAGAGTTTTATTCAGGATATTATTAACCAGCCCTGAATTTGCCTAACTTTGTGCTAAGTAAACACTGTCAGAGTTATAGGAGTCTGAAACGTGACCTCTGCCCATAAGGAGGGTGAAGGTGAGGCTAGCCCACTGCCCATGAGGAGCTAACAATCAGGGTGAGGGTAAGGCTAGCCCATAAAGCACATTTAGCAAATAAGGGAGTATGGAATGTAGCAGGAAGTTATGCTGTTGACCGAGGTGGACAGTAGAATACTGGTGTTAAACAGATGGACTTGTGTCTCTAGGTAAGCATAAGGTCCATCATGAGCTTTTTTTTCCTAAAAATAGTCCATCCCACTCTTCTCCTCCTGTTTGACTCTGAGCCTAACATCCCATACTGATGGACAAGCTCCATAGGGCATCCAACCAAATACATGTTGAAATCTGGGCCTTAGACCTTCTTCACCTGCTTGGTCTCTCTTGTATGGATAATCAGTCCAAATTCCTTTGAAGGCCACAGGCAGTACATATAAATGGAACTAGAAAAAGAAGAGAGTCATCAGGAAAGACTTTCCAAAGGACGGAGGACTAAAAGGATAAGAGACAAGAAATTATGGTGTGCTTAGAAGAGGAATTAGGAAAACCACGGTCCATTTTCCAAGGCTATAATCGTGACGTCTCTTTTTCTCCTTACAGAAAGTGATAGAACTTGTCAAGTCAGCGGCTTCCCCTTTTCCATATCCCCTTGAAGAAGGCATGGCATGTGACATTTATTCGGCATTTATAGTGCCACCCCCAACATCAACTCTCGAAGTAGAGGTAAGTAAGCCTTCAGCCCTTTTTGTTGTGGGACGCTCACTCAACCTCAGCCTTCCTTAGACTGGAGGGTCAATCAGCCAAGAAGGATTCATTAAGTACTTACTATGCACCAGGCATTTTGCTAGACACTGGGGATATAAAGAAAGGCAGAAGTAGGCTCCCTGACCTCAAGGAACTTCCATTCTAACTGAGGAGACAAGAAGAAAATAACCAGAGACACACATGCATAAGGAAGGTAATCTGAGAGGGGAAGGCCCTAATCGGGGATGGGGGAGGGAAAGTCCTCTTGCAGAAGGTGAGATTTGAACTGGGTCTAGAAGGAAGATAAGGAAATCCAGAAGTAGAAGGGAGAAAGGAGAGTACTCTAGTCATGGAGATGAGCAAGTGCAAAGGTGGGAGGTGAAGTTTGCGTGTAAGAAAACAGCAAGTAAGCCCAAGAGATGAATAGTTATGTAAACCAAACAGAGCTCCCTGACTCGTTCACTTGGGGTAAAAGTTCTTGGAAGAGGGGACTGGAAAATGGTGGCAGCATAGAAGGCTAGATGAGGGGAGGGTACAACGAGGTGAACACAGAGGAACAGCCCAAGCACAGGGATGATTGTCCTAAGAGAGAGTGGATCATCTCACAGACTTCATTTCCTCTTCCGTAAAAATGGAGATGGAGAATAAGCTCTCTTCAAATGTCACTCCCAGCTCTAAATTCTCAGTCCTCTGAGGACAGAAGTCATTGGGCCTGGGACCAACACAGACTGGACAGCAGAGGGCCCACAGGATGACTTTGTCAGTGAATTCCACCTCCATCTCCATCCTACCCCACTTGGGACATCTGGATTGTCTTGGATTCGTTCTTTGTCTTCATGGAATCTAATGATGAAGAAGTCAGTGGTAACTTCAAAACCTCAGCCTTCTCTAGGGTTGACATGATTTCTTGTAGAAAAGTACCCAATAAAAGCTTGGGGTTGCAGATGAGTCATGGAGAGCTCTATGAACAATTGTCTCTGTGCTTTTTACTTGGCATAGGATATCGAGCAAATCCTTTCAGAGGAGTCCCAGGTAGAAAGCGAAGCCACAGAGGTGGATCCATTGGCCAATTTCACCATCGAGGAAGTCAAGACTGTACTGGGTCAGATCACAGATGAAGTCATAAGCAGCATTCAGGTACATAGCCAGGGTAACATGCACATTTATATTACTTAGCTGGCCAACTTCAGCCTGAATGAATACTAACTCTTCCCACCAATGTGGTGAGGATGGCAGTGGAATTCCGACTTACCAGCTCTGCATAACTCTCTGATTAGTCACCTAATACTCAGAAACATCACAAAAATAGATTCTCTGACCCATTCTAAGTGTGGCATGACTTCTTTACAATAGAGAATTTGAAACATAAAACACAGCAAAGTCCCTGTCCCTTTTCACATTGCAAACATGAACCATGTAAGTATTATTTAAATTTATCAAAAGAACTGAGAAAGGTCATCTAGTATAATAGATAGAGAGCCAAGCTTGGAGGCAGGAAGATGTGGGTTCAGGTCCTCCATCTGATACATTCCAGCTGGGTGACCCTGGTCAAATCTTTTCACTTCTCAGTGTCCCCAAGTAAATTCTAAGACTCTAAACTGTTAAAGGGCTGACTTGTGTTGGTAGAGAAAGTGTCTTCATCGGGAGCTCCCCATACCCAATAAAATCCCAGGTCCATTTGAAAAAACACTGAACACCAAAGAAGCCAGATCAAACCTCATTTTGTGTTTGTCATCGGACATCCACAAAGAAGCGAAGGAATCAGCAAACTCATTCCCAGAAAGTTGGTTTCCTTCTCAGTTATCACTAGGATCTCAAAACCACTTAGGCCAGGCTTGAGATTCAAAGCAGCCAGGAGGCAGGCAGCCGCTCATGTTACCTCGGCTTCAGACTCATCGGCAGCTACAGCTCCTTCTCATGTTTCCCCCACTTTCCAGAGTGACAAGTGGCCTCACTTCACATTATGGAAAGCCCCTCCCACCATGGTTTGTAGGAATCTGCATCATTCTCCGAGAAGGTAACAGATTCAGTCCATTGGCTAGTCTGACCAAGTTTGAGATTTCCATATAAGTTGAGTAAGGCTATAGAAACCGGGCCCTACTCAATGGTGCATGCAGAAAACACATAAATGCCTTGCTGGGGGAGGCTTAGGGAATCATCAGAACATGAGAGCCGGTATGTAAAAAGCACCCTGTTCAAACAACTAATTTGGGACAAGCCGGAGATCAGCCTGGCATAAGCTCCCTTTGTGACTTACTCAATCATCAGATGCTATTGCGCTATTTACACGAGCACGCAGGGAGCTCATGCCAGAAGAAGGAGCCAAGGTCCTCGGCTTAATAAGGGGTGTTTAGTGTTTACCAGAAATAGTGGAAGAACATGTTTTTACACAAAGCTCCTTATTGTGAGCTGTCTGATGAATGTAATAACCGGCTAATAGGTTGGAGGGCAGAGGGCCGTTGCATGAAGCCAGGGGTTCAGAATGTATCTCCTCTTTGGATTTGATAACATTTCTTCTAAATATAGTTTACGTATAACCCTGGCCCCTGGAGGCTCCTCACGATCCTCGGGAATTATCACCAGGGCTGCTCTTAGACAGTAATGGAATTGTTTGTGAGGCCCCCAGAATTGGAAACACATCTCTGCCAAGACCGTACTGTATGGAGTTAGCCATGCGTCTTCAGTGACTCATTTCCAAGGAGAGGAGCCTGATACCTTTGTCCCACTGAACCACAGAGAAAAATGAGGACGCTGTTTAACTTTTAGATGTGGTCACCTCGTTGGCCCAGAGTCATCATACCTTGGCTGTGCATCCAGGGAACAACCGAGTCAAAGATAATGAAGATGAGAAAGGAGTTGGACCAGAGGTGAGGGACAGTGACCGTTTTTTTTTTTTTTGAAGGGGAGATGCAGACTAATTTCAGACTAGTTTCTACATTAAGTGAGTCCTGGGCCCTGGGCAGGACCAAGCAAAATGCCAACTCCCAGATAAAATATTGATGATGATCACAGTGGTAGTTGTAGTAATAATAATAACGGCGAGAGCTTACATATCATTATACTCAACAATGAAAGGGCATCATTTTTTTACTTTTGCAAAGTACACTGACCGTTAAACATGGACGTAGAATAGTACCTTGTCCTTAGAGTTTTTCTTTCTGCACTCCATTGAATATGATGAGAACAATAGAAATAAGGTTGAATGAGCAGTTGGCATAATACCTCTAGAGGCAGCAGGACAAAGTGGATAGGACACTGAACCTGGAATCCAGAAGGCCAGAGTTCAAATTCTGCCTCAGCCTCTGACTATGTGACCTTGATCAAGTCCCAACTTCCCTGGGCCTCAGTTTCCTCACCTGTAAAAAGAGGAATTGGGTTAGATGGCCTTCCAGCTCTAAATCTCTGATCCTAAGATATCATGATCCCCACTCTCCCTCTTTGCATAAATCTTCTGGTTAGCCTTGCCAACCTCCATGTAAACAAGTAGCAACTAGCATTCAGCCCAGCTGAAAGCAGGAATAATGATGGTTCCAAAAGAGTGGCTTCCCTAGAATTCCGAGGGTCTGTCACTAAACATGACTTCACCATTCCCTTCCTAAGTGCTCTCCACCAACCCACCAAACCCCCAGATCTATTTCTGGAGAACTTTGGGGGGTGGGTACTCTCATGGCATGGCGTCTTGTCAACATTTAAGTATGTATCTTAGTTGAGTTAAAAGTCGGGTCGTTATGTTCTGCCTATCAAAATCTCCTGGCCTCAGATACTTCCTGCTGTGTGACCCTGGCCAGTCATTTCACCCTGTTTGCCTCAGTTTCCTCATCTGTAAAATGAGCTGGAGAAGGCAATGGCAAACCACTTTAGTATCTCTGCCGAGAAAACCCCAAATAGGATCATGAAGAGTCAGACACAACTGAAATGACTCAACAACCAAAATATCCAAATGGTTCTTCCAGGCAGCACAGAAATCACCACTGGCAATATTCTTTAAAGTGCTCTTTTTCAAAGTTCTTAGAATTAATTATTGGTATACCTCACTTCACACAATTGATGAAGTCCCAAAAATTGAGTGTAAATTATTTTTTAAGTAAATTAAATTATTTTCTCATTGACTCTCACTTTAATTTTAGATGATCCTTCCCACTGGAATTCTTTTCGGTTCCAAGATGCATAATAAAGGCCATACTTAATAAAGAAAACCTTTTTTTTTTGTTAAAGCTCACATTTAAAAGGAAATTCCATTTCTGAGACAATATGAATAATGATTCTCTAATCTTGTATTCATTTTGACTGTTGGCCCAGGCAAACTTAAAAAGCTTAAGGGAAGCCAGTAATTTAGAGATCATGGGTTTTTTCAGCTCTACTTCTCATTTCTAGGTTAAGAAATAAATCCAAGTGTCATCACTACCCTTACTCACCACAGTCTCTGGGAAAGAAACATCCCAGGTTTCACAGCTGTGTAAGACAGAGGTTTCTCTTTTTCTTTCTGAAGCCAGAAGAGTCACTCAAACAAAGCCCAGACATGCTGCTCACAGGATAGTTCTTAGAAAGTGATGGTCTGAATCCACCCAAGCTGTCAGGAAGAGAACAGAGTTCAAAGAAAATAGTAATTGTTTGGAGAGAGAGAGAGAGAGAGAGAGAGAAGAAGGGAGGGAGAATACATAGATATAGGGACTGGAAGAGTTACCTAGTCAAACCTCTCATTTCAGAGATAAGGAAACCAAGGCCCAGAAAGATGAAGTAGTTTGCCCACGTTCACAAGGCAGTAGGTGATAGAGCCAGGAATTTAAACCAGGTTCTCTGATTTCAGTTTCCATAGCTCTTTCTGCTTGTACAATACTGGCCTCTGCTAGGTCTGTCTAGCCCAGAGGACAAGTACCCGCCCCCTGTTCTAGCTGTCTTTCTACTACCTATTTGTGAAATATTCATTCAGAAATGCATGGGGTAATTTAAGGAGGAGTAGAGCCATAACATGGGTGGGGTGACTGGGCCTTTGTCTCAGGGGACAGTATGCTCTCAGAAGGCATTAATAATGCTTACAGTCCTTCAAAAGTTTCAGTCCAAACAATTTAGTACCTACTTAGAAAGAACACGTACTTAAAATGAACGAGTTAGACTAGATTGTCCTAGGAAGTTCCTTCTAACTCTAAACCTATAATCCTGTAATCCCCTCGTCCCAGAGACTAGGAATATTATTTTACGTCTCTGCAAAATCCCACGGCTATGGACTCCCTTGAGCACACACAATGTTGCCCTATGACTCTTCCCCAAGGCAGACGATTCACTTGTTATAGTTACATTCCACCAAGGTAACACTGAGTAAGAAATGTGTCCTCTCCCAGAAGAGGTGATAGCACTGGGTGATTGAAATGGGCCGGGACAGTAGGATTTTCATTAGTGGAAGGGAGATGGGACTGTGGGTGAAGCTGGAAGCATTTAATTAAATATGAGAAAGGAGATTGATTGCTCAGTTGGAATTGGGGTGGGATGCCCAGAATTTTTGGAGTTGTGAAACTCCCTTCCAATCACTGGGTCAATTTCATAGTAACTGCTACCTGGGACCATATGGTTATATGGCATGTATTATTCTTTCAAACTAAAGTGATTTGAAGTAGATAATAATAATTACAAATAGAGCCAGTGGTTATACAGTGCTTTAATTTTGCATTCATTATTAGTTCATTGGAGGTTCACCCCCATCCATGTCTACTGCATGTAAACTACAGCCCGTGTAAACTACAATATAAATATCTCGAGGGGTTCCCTGAGCATCTCAGAAGATAACTGGTGACAGCCTCAGGCATTGAGAATCTCTTAGAAAGAAAAGCCATTACTCTTTGGGAGGGCAGTTGGTTTGTTTTAATTTGGAAGGTTAATTCTCAATTCTCCTGCAGTCCACACCTCTCCCCTGCACCTCCTTCTGTTCCCCCAACTCATCTCCCTTCTTCCCTCTCTTAATCACTGTCAAGAAAGGAGAATATACACATACTAGGCATAGCTCAGAGGCAAAGCAAAAAATAGTTTCCTGAGAGTCATATAAGGCTATCCATATCTCATCTAATCATTAGCTAAACTTGAAATCTTGGCTTGGAGGCAAACTGGAATGTGGTGGGATGAAAAACCCAAAAAGGATTTTGCAAAACTTATAAAACCGAATCCAATATCTGACATGAGCAGTCCTCCTGTTGAAACTGACCCAATAAAAGCCTTACCAGACATCAGTGACTCTAGAAAGCCCAAGTGACCCAACAGATACTAACATTCCAAGCTTTATAAGTATTTTTCATGTCATTGGAAGTTTTATTTTATTTTCTATTTAAAGATGGAGGAAAATCTACAAGCTGTTATAAGGAACCATGTTGGCGCACCAAGCTGGTTTGGGCATGCCTCCACACATAGATTTATCTGTCCTGACCACATTATTTATTATTAATAATAAATGTGTAATAAATGACTGATTTTTTTATTTTTTATAGTAAATATCGTCTTTGTCTTTTAAAGTTTGTTTTGTTGGTGCCTTTTGTTTTTCTACCACAGACATTTCTAGATATACTACGCAATATCCCACACACAAGCCCAATGGATCTTCCCCAGTAGCAGTTAAAAATAATTAAGCAAAGGCAACCTACAGAATTCCATCTTACAATATATGCAATATTCTTCATCCATGATCCCTCATCTCTCCAAGGAAAGGAGAAGATGTCTTCTCATCTCTTCTCCCAGACCAAGATTGGTCTAACCACAATTATATACTCCTACTAATAAAAGAAGTACATTCTAGAGCTAGAAGTGTTTAGGAGATAAGTATGCTCACTTCTCCTCACAAATGTCACCACCAGGGGCCAGAAGCGATCATAAACCCAGACATCCACTAAAGCCTGTCAATAATCACTCACCTTTTCCCAACTAATGATATGCAGAAAAGTGGCAGAATTCCTAAAGTCCCAGAAGAGAAGAAATTTTCTTAATTGTGGGAATTACAAGGAGAACCATAGACTTATTAGCACAGCTCATTCCCAGGTAGTCCTGACTTTCTGAGATCCAGATGAAAATGCATTGCCTTGGAGACAAAAATAATAATAATCCATTGCCATTAGGGTTGGATGGGGATGGAGGGATTGCATTAATAAAACCCAGAGCAGTTATCCTGATTGGGTGTTTATTGGTAAAGTCCATCTGAAAACACAGATAAATTATCCTATCTCACAACTCAAGGTGATATGAAAAATGGCTGTCCAAATACCACTTCCTGTTGCTAGCAGACACAGTCTACACTGGGACCAGGCATAGAACGATGATAAAGCTTTATCACATCACTCCAGGCTGAAACACCATAATGTCTGCAAAACAGGAAGGTGTGCCTGGGCTAATGTCTGTCTTTAGGCGCTCGCGCATGTCCCGGCCACAGAGACAATGTGCAGGCAGTGATAGCTCCATCATCACCCCATTTTTCTCTGATTGTCTTCACAGGCTGAGATAAATGAGAAGCTGCAGATGCAGGAAGAGACCTTCAATGTACGGATCGAGAAACTGAAACAGGCCTGAGGATGCCCAGGGATAGGAGCCAGGCTGACAGTCAGAGAAAGCATCAAAAGCCCAGAACACAAGACCATCTCTAGAGCACCCCGTGCTCTCCATTTAGTGAAGAATCGTAGCCCATATCCCTTTTATTTGATTATTTTGATTTGATTTGATTAGGCACTCTCTTGGCCCATCTCAGCAGCTGAATCGACTTCACCCAATAGAAACCAAACCTATTTTATACATGAGGTTGCAGAATTTTGTGTCAAATATGCCTAGTTTAGGGTATATTTTTGACATTAAGAAGCATAAACACACTTCTTCCAGGAAGAAACTTTTTAAACCAAAAAGATAAAAAAATGAAAATAATTCTATTTCCATTGACTGCTTCAGTGGACTTAGAACTTATCACTGAAAGTGGAGAACTAGAGCCCCGAGGACCAACTCTTATCGGACTCTCCCCCCTTCTGAGCCATTGAGTTTTTTTGTTTAGACCTTACATGTGTGAAGCCCATTTCCTGAAATTACATAATGTGTCTCTGAGCAGTTTAATTCCTTCTGCTCTGTGTTTGTTATTTCTAATCTTGTTACCCTCTCCAGAGAATACATGACCTACACACACACACACACACACACACACAAAAGAGGAAGCGATACGTAAGTGGTTATTGAAGACCAACCTCAATAGGGATGAGAGAAGTCTTAAATACAAATTCTGCTTTGTGGAGCCGTGAAAATTAACCATTAGTGCCATGAAATAATTGAAATGTCGAACATAATTTAAAATAGTTTAATTAAAATGGAATTTTTGAGGAAAAAAGAGTCCTCTGGCAAGCTGATTAGCCCCTGGTTTTACAGATTAGATTCCTTCCTAATTGGGCTCTTTGTCTCCGGGTTTCTCTTAAGATATTCCCTGGAATTGGAAAGATAGCCAGAAGGGGGCCCTGGCTTCAGCAGCAGCAACTTTGTGGTTCAAATAATACCAGCTTCTGAGTAGTACTTGAAAGGAAAAGCATTGATGTTATTGCAAATGGAGTGACAGGCCCTCACACCCTCTCATGGAGGGCACATTGTGGGACAGTAGCTACTCAAAGCTTTAACTCCAAAGCCCCCACTGATGTGTTTCTTTTACCAGCTGAACAAAGGATATATTAGTTCAGAGCAAAGGAAATATAATTAAACAACTCAGCAAAAGAGCGAATAAGATTCCCCCCATTCACATAGGAGTACACGCTCCCACTTACCACACTACAAATTTGAGAGGGAATGTGTTCCAGGATGACTGGTAGCTAGGAAACATACGTAGCCAAAAAAAGTCCACTCTCCTAGGTTGACATTCATTCTGAATCGCCTTTAACACTGCTGTTTGCTCTACAGCATAGGACTGCTTCTGTCTTCTACGGATGTTGTTGGACTTCCTCAGCTGACCTGGCCTTCTCTGCTGTTCTGTTCCCTCTGCTGGGTTCTGTGCTGAAATGCCACCTGCTTTCTTCTGGACCCTCTGCTAAACTGTAGCTCTGGCATCTAGAATCTTAGGCATCTAGAATCTTAGGCATCTAGAATCTTAGGCATCTAGAATCTTAGGCAGCAATCTTTACCTATGATCTCCCTGATAACTCAATCAGCATGCTCCGTGCACCAACTAGTCATCCTGGCCTTGTCAGGGAACTTTTCTATTTGACAGTGAGAGTCTCACTTGAGCAGTCATTATCAATAACAGTGGTGAGGCCACCAATCACAAGGGTAAATAGAACCAGCGTATTAGGGCCACAGATGGTTCGGAGTTAGGATTTAATAAGCGTCAGTTATCAGATGATCGGCTTCTCCAAGGCAGAGAGTGTGAGAATGCCACACATCCAGCCATGTGAGTTTTCCCTAAATGTACGTTGCTCCCGATGGATGGGCAGGAAGCAAGTGGAGCAATATTTAGGGAAGTCCAAGGACGGTTACCCATAGGTCAACTCTATGTCCTTGTCCATATGAATTGAAGCTATAATTGATAAACGTCCAATCTCCAAGGTTTTACCAATTACTGGTCTTTTCAGTCACGCTCTTAAGCGTGACATCACCGTCATGAAGGTACAGCTTAAAAAATGAAACATTATGTGGAAGAGTAGAGAAAGTGCTAGACTAGCACTCAGCAGACCTGGGTTCAAGTCCCATATGGGCTACTTACTAGCTGTATGACCTTGAGAGCAAACTACTAAAGTTTCTTCATCTGTAAAATGAAGGTGTTGGAGCAGATGACATCTAAAGGACTCCTAATTCTGACATTCCATGATCAATGATGATGATAGTAACTCCTTGCTCTGTGGAATGTTCATGTCTCCAAAGCATTTCCCCCACAACCACCCAATGAAGGTGTGTCCTCTGCAAAGTCCTTTGTGAGCTCTGGGAGGAAACAGCAGCAGCAGCAGACGTAGTCACACTCCCCTCCCCCCCCAAAGAGCTTACAACTTGATTGGAGAGATAAGACTCAGGCACACAAAACACGAACAGAATGGGTGAGCCATTTTATTTCTTAGGATACATCAAGGAGAATCTTAAGATATAGAGAAAACTACTTGGCCTCCAAGGTCCCTTCTAACTCTAAGATTTCATGACTCACTGACTTTCTGACCTGGAATGAACGTTGGAAATCATCTAATCCAATACCCTCACCTTACAGACCAAGGACCCAAGCAAAGAAGACTTGTCCAAGGTCACGTGGCTTAGCAAATGGCAGAGCTGAGACTTGAACCCATCTCCTCTGATTTCAAATCCAGCATACTTTCCTCTAATGAGAGCTCACATTCCCATAGTGCTTTCACATTTACAAAGTACTTTTCTCTTACCTCTGGGAGGAAGGTGGAATAAGTATCATTGTGCCCATTTTTCACAGGAGAAAACCAAGGATCCAAGAGGTCAAGGGATTCATCTTCCTTCATAGAGCTTGCACGTGTTATAACCAGAATTTGAAACCAAGGTTCCTGATGCAATCTAGTGCTCTTCCCATCCTCCACAATGCTTTCCAATATCAACAATACAAGGCTGTCGGAACACAAAAGGACGAGAAAAGCCATCAAGTGTAACCCCTTCATTTGAGGGGTGACATGATGGCTATCTTTGAACAATTGAAGGGCTGTCACATAGCATCGGGATTATGTGACTTAGCCGCCAAGAACAGGACAAGGTGCCATAGGTAATTGTTGCAAAGCATTCAATGTCAAGAAAAACTTCCTAATGCAGCTCCCCTCAGGGATTCCCACACCCCCAATTTGCAATAACACTGGAGGGTGGGTCCCCAACTGGGTGCCTACTCTTAGGTATGAAGATGCTCTGTGAGTTTCCACTCCTAAAACTATAGTTTATGAGTCCTCACTGAGGCACTTATATTTAATAATCAATCAATCAAACAATTAGCTCAAAGCAAAGGCATTTACTAAGATGGCAGAGTAACAATAATAGCTCCAAAATGGTGCCACATAAACTTGGATCATTTCTCCACAAACATACATAGCATCAGTGGGAAGATTAAGCTCTATACAGAATTCACCCGTGGAAAGCGTGCACACAGGGAACAGAAGTGGCCAAGGCAATTCATGCCCGTGTACTTACCATGGAGCCCAGATAGCTTTCTATTTTTATGGCGTCCTTATGCCGCTCCTTGCTGGACATTGGATCTCCTTTGTATTGCTCAATTTGGTTTCATGGACTTCTTTCTGTCACTCACCTTTGAAATTCCAGGGCTAATTCTCTCTTGAATCTATAGTTGACTCTCTTCTCTGCTGCCAGGCATCATGCTCTTTGAACTCACGTTCTTTCTTCTTCTTCTTCTTCTTCTTCTTCTTCTTCTTCTTCTTCTTCTTCTTCTTCTTCTTCTTCTTCTTCTTCTTCTTCTTCTTCTTCTTCTTCTTCTTCTTCTTCTTCTTCTTCTTCTACTCTCTCTCTCTCTCTCTCTCTCTCTCTCTCTCTCTCTCTCTCTCTCCCTTCTCTTCCCCCTCTGGGTGTGATGTCTCCTACTAGGAGATTAGCACCACCATAGGACACCATGATTATAGGGTATTCAGTGAGGACTAGCACCTCTGATGTGGTGTCCACCTGATTCACCCAAATTTCACCTCTGGCTCCAAGAAGCTGTAGCATGCACAGCAGCCACACTCCAGTAAAAACCACCTTGGCAGATGGCCTAAACTAGGTTGAGGGTTAACTGATGGGCCTCAAACCCATCAGTGAGTTAGGGGAATGTTTATCCCAAGCATGTGAACACTTCCTTGGGGTGGAATGGATGAATGGGAACAATTTGTTCCAAGAGCCATGAACACAGCTGAAGCAAGTGTTATGGAGTGCTTAGAACTTGGTCAGACATCGAATATGCCAAGGTCACCCACAGCATCCTGGGCCATCGCCAGTTGTCCTGACTTTCGTCTTGCCACTGGACTTTGATGACTCTGGAAAAGAGTGAGGCTGATGACTCTGTGCAGCTCTGCCCCGAATCCAATTCACATGAGGGTTAAGACATCACCCGTGATATCACTGTTCCTCTTTGAAATGAATGAAAATAAAACAAAACAAGAAGAAGACACCATGGAAAGGCATCATGGTGGATGGAGAGGTAAGGAAAGAGAAATTCCCCTCCTATTCATGCTGCCCTCTAATCAAGGGGCAAAGGTCACACTCCACAAAGCTGTTTCCTTCCACAACTGTCTCCAGAGCTGACAAGCTTAGCGTTTTAGCTGGGAGGCAATTGGGGTTAAATGACTTGCCCAGGGTCACACAGCTAGTGAGTGTCAAGCTTAGCATTTTAATAGCTACCAGAGGAGTGGCCAAACTTCGACTAGCCAATGGCAATCTGTTCCTCTAATTACATCAGCTTTCTGTTGAAATGCTCTCTGCCTTCCAATATAAGGTTCCTTAGCAGATAATCTCCAAGGTGCCATTCAATATCAGATCCTATGATTCTCATCTCATCTTTCCATACTTAGGACTTGATTTCCAAAAACCTAAGCACAGGCTCTGTCTGGACTGATAATCTCATCAGTTTGAGGACAGCTCTGCGTTGAAGTGAATTCCCTCTATTAATGCAAACGGATACCTTCTTGGTAATATCTAGACTTACAGGGTTTCCTGGGAACAGTGAGAGATTAAGGGACTTGCCCAGAGTCACACAGATAGGATGGACTACCTCAGAAATGTTGGCTTCCTCCTTACTCGGCGAATCCAAATGAGGGTCGGTGAATCACTTGTCAGGAGACTGTAGAAGGTATGCTTACCTAGGTATGTGTTAGACTAGATGACCCTGAGGTCACCTCCAAGCTCTGAGATGCTGGGCTGAGGGTTATAGTAGCAGAAACACAAGATTGGACTTCAGAACCCCGCCTGAGAATCCTCATTCTTCCACTTACTATCTGTCCAAAGTAAACCTTGTCAAAACAAAAATGAATAATACTTTATAAGTAGTAATTAGTTGTTGGGACAGCTGGCGGCATAGTACATAGAGTGCCAGCCCTGGAGTCAGGAAGTTCAAATCTGGCCTCAGATACTTCCTAGCTGTGTGACCCTGGGCAAGTCACTTAACCCTGTTTGCTTCAGTTTCCTCACCTGTAAAATAAGCTGGAAAAGGAAATGGCAAACCACTCCAGGATATCTGCCAAGAAAACTCCAAATAGGGTCACAAAGAATCAGATGTGATTGCAAACAACGGAACAAAATTAGTTGCTGTTTCTTGTTTACACTCAATTGTTTATTTTTAATATATTTTTTAAGGAAAAAATAATCTCAAGCAAA